AATGCTGCTTTTAAGTAATTCGACCATACGTCGGCGAAATTCATTCCATTTGTTAATTTTAGTTTTCAAAACTTTTGTGGTACTTAGGATGGAAGCTTAATGACAAAAAAAAAATGAAAAACGTTTCAAACATAATAAAGGTGCGTAATCTCGTGCTTATTAATGATTGATTAAGACTGAACAGATAAAAAATAGATGTTTATTTTTTACATCACAGAGACCAAATTGAATCTTGAAATGAGTAAAAACTATCTTAAAATATCGAACTCTGCTGATGATACTCTAACTTACCCCCTAATCCGAGTAGGGTGCTGATAAGTATGGAATATTAGGCCAATGATGAGGTATTGTTGGCATTTGCTAGTGGATAGAAATAAATAGCATCTTCTTCACCAAAATTTTATTTACAAGAAGAACTGCATTTTCCTCAAGTGATTTCGTTTGTTCTGATATCGTCACTCAAACGAATACTCCATTATTGTTACAAAACATTCACAAATCTTATGAGAATAAAAAAAAATACTGTATAGAGAAATATATAGCCATGTACCTCGAAGGTAAACGGAAAGCCTACAATCATCGTACATCAATCTAAAGCAAGCGCTGTTTACTTTAATCACGCTTTCAATTAAATCCACAATTTATGTCCTTTCAATCAAAGAAAAAATAATGTAAATATCAGCCAGATCCCGACGATAGCCCCGGGCCTGCAGCTACGAATCCCGCCTGGGCATTGATGTATGCTGACAAATCGACAAAGTGGGGCTTCACCCAATCACTATTTATCACCTTCTATTCCTCTCCTTCCCTGTCTAAAAGGTTAAATTGACGTAAACGCCCATTGATGACGATGAAAATGAATTGGTGTAAACATTTCTCTCAATAGAAATTTTGAAGCGCATTTACCTTGAATTGTAGCAACATTTTCTTTTTCATGAGCACATTCGGCAGCTGGCGTGAAGAGCAAAAATCATCCACCACAGCCTCAACGTTCGTGAAACGCCTGCCAATCATCCCCCTCCTTTAATTTAGTCCGGCGCGAATGAGCGTTAAAATAATAATGAAGCTCGCGCTTCCGCCTCGGCCGCCGCGGGAGGCGCGACCGGCGGCGTCCCCACCGCCATGAGCAAAGCTGCTCCTGACTCAGTGCGTGGTTCCTCCATGACTCACAACGTCTGGATCAGGGGATAGCAGGCAAATCTCACGAGTTCTTTAACCTTTTCCCATAGCTCTTTTGCTTCGTTTTGTTTTGTTTTTTGCCGCCCCACGTGACGCCAGCGCGTGCGCTGTCGGCGGCTGCCTCATGCGAAAACAAAGGAGGCGACTTGCAATCGCGCGGAAGGCGTGGCTGCTTCCTCTTTGGGACTGCGATGTGGAAGTGCTCCTCTACCGGACTTCTGTGAACGACCACAATTATTCAGGACTGGCGACGATACATTTCAAGGTTGCCCAAAACCTTGATCCAGGTGATAGGGCGACAACTGAATTATTGACAAAAATTAAATGATATTCATACAAAATGAGGTCACGCAACGATATAAAGAAAATGTTGCGGTTGGAATGGATCTGGGATCATTAAGCAACTGTTTGAAACAAAATTGTATGTTGTATTTTGTTTTTGTTTATTATATTGGTTTAAAATATCTGTTGATTGTAGACAGTCAATTTCAAATAAATTGTTTTATTGATTGGCACAACATTACATAGAACAAAATTTAATAATTTAATTTATAGACAATTTAATTCAATAACAATACATTTCTATAAACATAACATATTTTTTTATTAATACACAAGAAATTAGATAAGAGTGGAAACGAATATTAAAACTTCAATTTATCTTCAATATTCCTATTGCATGTTTTGCTTATCAAAACTTAGTTTCGTTACGTATTTTTAAAATAACAATCATTAACTAGTTTAATATTTTATTGTTCAGCCAAATAGTAATCAACAGCCAAACCACACATTATTAATTACATTATAAAATTGTCATAATATCCATTATTTTCTGGTAGTGTGTGTAAATGTTGTGCAAGAAACATGGCAGACCGATACCTGTCCTAACAATTATTTACAGAGTCGAGAATCTGCGCGCAATACTGCGTCTCGGGTGCACCTGCAGCGCCTAACTCTAATCGATCTGTTAACTTGATTTGTCGGAGTGCTCTTCCATGTGTGGTACACGTTACTATTACTTAAGTTGACACTGCAACACCCTTTGCAGTCGAAGATATCCAAGAGTCATGGCTAGGATTGTAATAAGGTATTACGAACGTTTGCATGAATATCATGAACTCAGACGCTAGGGCGCTTAAATGCCAACTGCTACATGCGAGACCCGGTGAAAATGAATAGCAACTCATTGACATTGCTGAGATAGTGTCAGAAGTAAGGTACCCTGTGAAGCAAGAACCATTGGTACTTGCGAGATCCTAATATTAACTGTCGTTAAAAATACTACGTTAATGACAATAATAATAATAATAATAATAATAATAATAAAATGAGTGATTATTATCCAATTCTCTGACGCAGGTAATAAGAATCACGACTCGTAAATAAATGGTATAATTCGAGAACGATTGGTAGCAACGATGCATTGACAGAAATCCAGTAATAATCTCAAAATCTACAAAGGACAAAACGCGTGTAGTTCAAGTGCGATATTATGTATAAACTTCGAGTGTACATATGTAGAGTGTGAGTAAAAGGATTGCATAATTATTGACCGCAAAAGTATGGCGAGTGTTCGTGAAAAAGATTGGTAGAATATCTACGAAAGAATTGTGGTAATATTTAATGGTGATTTGTCTACAAGTCCCAAACCTACCATTAGAAAACACTACGGAAGTCTCAATTCCAGCACCAGAATCCTCAGTCGTTATTCACCGCCTTAGGAATGTGAGGCGTAGGTGACATCATAAAGCATGATGGAATCGACTCCTTCGTCGTAGGCGTCCAAGTACTTCACAGTGAGCTGCTTGTGCAAAGACGTGGCGAACGTGCTTTACAATTGCGCTGTTGACAGCATTCCCTTTCAGATGTGCTTTGGAGGAGGAACTACCGCAGCTGTAGAATTCCCCACGCTGCACCAAAGGAAATAACTGGAATTTCAACATTTTTATTTAATTTACCTGAGTAGACGGAACACCATTCACGAACTAGCCGTTTGTGAACCATCATCGGTATCGTGTCGTGCGTTCTAGTAACTGGGAGGGCACGGATTCGATCTCGACAAGGTATTAGAAATTTACTTGGTGTATTTAAAATCGGCAAATTTGTGCCACTTGCCGGATTCAAATTCGTGAGCCGATTCGAGGCTAATGCCGGAGCAGAATCTGGCTAGGAGGTTCCTGGTTTGAATCCCGACGATGACAGGATTTTTGACACTAAGTTGCTATGTAGAATTCCGTCGCTGCCTGGAGCAGAATTCTACCGGCCGGCTGCCCTGATCGGTAGTTCTCCGTGATTTCTGCGATCAATACTAGACGAATGCCGGAGCAGAACCTCAAACGGCCACGGATCGCGTGCGATCTTTCCTTCCTGTTCCTTGGCCTATCCTCACACCTACACACACTTACACTTACCTTCACTACACTCCCACACATGCGGGGGGACCGGTCAGAGCTGGGCATCGCTGGTGGGAGATACCTGATTGAGAAAACCCCCGCTAGCCGGTAGCTCGGCGCCGAATCTCACCCTGCAGTCAGACACAGCCAGCTCCCGAGGAAAGGCATGCGCTACATTTACAGAAACACTTACAGCTGTTGACACGCACGGAATCACTAATCAATTAATCAACCGGAGCAGAGCCCTTTCCAATGGGTCACTCCCATTGCCTTTCCCTCTCTGCACGAGCACCATCCCCAATCCAGCCTGAGCCCCAGGCCCAGGCCCAACACAACCGTCCCACGCCGGCGGGAAGGCCTCGCGGCCCCTCCACCGAAGCGGGACGCAAGCTACGAAAAGCACGATCCAGCGGTGGGCGATTATCAACTCTTGAAGTTCTTTCTTTCTCGAGTTCGCTTGTTTGTTTAATGTTTGATTGAGAATATTTCTATCGTCAGTTATAAAAAGAAATACTAATTAAGTAGCTGAAATATTTTTAAATGCTTTTTTGTTGCTCATTTCAACCGGATAAAAATAAAACATATTTCTTCAGATATCCAAAACGAAGTAAATAATACATATGTTTAAGTTTAATTACGAGTTCAGATATTTGATCAATTTCGAATTAACTTGATTACGTTAGTGTACCGTTTGGTATGATCTGTGAAATCAAGAAGTTCGTACTTCCGCAGGTTCCAAAACGCTTTCTCCGTAACTCTCTTCATTGACGAGCGAGCGCTTTGGATGTGCGTTGAGAGAGGTCACGGATGACTGATTTGTAAACAATGAGCGCGCAGCTGAAGCGAATAGCAGAATGGCAGGCAGCAGGAGCGGAATATCCCGCGATTACGAACCATCGATGCTTTTGTCCGGTAGATCTCGCATGGATCGACCTGACTCGGAAATGCGTCCCTGGATGCAGAAGAACAGCGAACAAATCGCCGTGTCGTTTAGTTGAGGAGAACAGAGATTTAGCAGCTTAGGTTTTAATAGTGTTGTTTGAACTAAGAAAATAAAGATTCTGCGATAAATGAAAACATGTCGAAGAAAGGAACAACACATTCCCAGCGTATCGAATGTAGGAAGGCTAGAATCCTGTATACTTTCTGCATGGTTCAAGTACTGTTAATTGCAACATTGTAGTATCGACATTGCGTTTTAGTTAGGCGTAGTAGAAAGGATACAATCTTTCAAGAAGGGAATTTTTATAGTAACTTTGACGCTGTTATTTCTCAGTCTAAATTTTAGTTCTGGTGGAGGGAGGATCAACATTTTGAGAATTCCAGCTTTCAGAACTATATAGTCACTAAATTAGTCATATACTGCTTAAAACACGAACAAAATTAGCTCGTCTCCCTTCTTTCTTCCCCTCCCGTCAGACCAATCATCACCAACTCTCTCCTGGTAGGGAGAGTGAAAAAGTGGACGGCAGATGGCACCCACCGCCAGCCTTGTCGCATCCAGGCAGCGGAATGAGCCGCATCCGATGCCTATTCCACTCATTGGCTCGTTGTGTCGGGTGTCGGGTGCTCCTCTACACCGCGTCTGAGTGGTTGCGGGCTGTTGCAGACATGGCGTCGCCGTCCAGTTCACTGCTGCTGCTGCCGCCGCTGGCGCTGTCGCTACTCGCGATGGTGGCGCCGCCACCGGCCGCCGCGCACACCTACCACATGGGCAAGTGTCCGCGCGTGCCGCCTGTCGACGACTTCGTCGCCAGCAAGGTGAGCGTACCGCAAACCTCTGAAAGTCAGCTGCGTTACGATATGATAAGTTGTGTGTGATTATCTGGTCTTGCGAACTCGTAAGCGTATTCTCGGCAAGAAGGAAAACGCGCCCCAGGGTAACTAAATTTTCGAAACACCAGCTCGACGGCGAAGGGTAGTGACCCACAGCCGGGTCTAAATTCAATAAAATTACCATCAGACTCCGAAATGGGAAGTGATTTTTTCTATAAGTACAGTGTAAACGTAGTCTCTAATGCTCGACATACTTAAGAATGAAAGGTAATGGGAAGAACTTTTCATATAATTAGCTATTACTATGAATTGAATGACATTAAATTATGAATTAAATATGAGATAATCAAACATTAACTCTTCCTTATTATAAAGTCGAAGACAAAGAAATGTTTTATTGTTATTGGTGATTTGTATAACGCAGATTTATTGAAGTGAATCCATTTCTCTTCTGAACGTAATACTACCAACACAAGGAGTCTAAGAATAAATGTTACAAATATCTAGGGGCATATAGAAAGATATAAAAACATAATTAAATTTGGCTAGGAATATATTATGGGAAATTTAATTTAACAAAGTTAGAAGGATCGTTTGTGCCTGACTGCTTGGCAATTCGTATAACGCTTCTGTTCGGCAGGTAACATTCTCACCGAAGGAGATTTTGTGTTACGGCCAAACACTGGTGCAAGAGCAGTTGCCTATAAATCAGGGGCAAATGTCATATTGGCAACTTCATATGAAATTGCTCACCACATGTTCATTAGCTAAAAGTCATCATATTTAACCCATCTACATGTCCTAGAACAAGAACTCCCAAACCTTTTCTTGCATCGTCCTCCTTCTAAAAAGAACGATTTGCTTCATCGACTTCTTTGACTTTTTCCAGTAATATAGAGCTTACAAAATAATGATAACGCAAATAATATAACATAAATGACATGATAAGAATTAGATAAGAATTAGAGAAGAATATGAACAACCGTTTTGAAAACAATGATTTATTAGGCATATGTGTTTGTAGTACTATTACAATTTTCAATTCTTAGAAATATAAACAAACATTATTCTGTTTTCGATCATTACATAAGAATACAATTTACATTTTTTTGAAATCAATAGGATCTTGATTATATCGATTAGTTGACGGTGTGTATTTTGCTATTGTCCTCCCATCGGGCCCTTGATCATCATTGACCCCGTTCAAAAAAATTTTCGACCCCCAGGGGTCGTCTGAGAGAGGTGCCTCAGTGCCTCTGACTGCGAGGTTCTGGGTTCGAGTCCTGACTGTGGCAGAGGTTTCGCCACTAGCTACAGAGCCAGGTCGCTGTCTCGAGGAGAATTCGAGCGGCCAGCTGGCGTGATCAGTACTTTCCCATGGTTTCTACGATCAATATCAAGCGAATACCGGAGAAGTACCGTACCAAATGGGTCATGGATCGCGCACGATTTTTCCTTCCTCATCCTTGTCCTATCTTCACCCCTTATTTACACATACATGCTCTACACTACCACACGTGCCGGGAGGTCGGACAGGAGCGTTGAGATGGTGCCGAGCGAGGGGGCACCCGTTGGCGGGAGATCCCTGGTTGTGGAGAAGCTTGCACGCCATGACGGTGATATGTCGTCGCCGGATCTCGCCATCTCGCGGGCAGAGACATGCACCACTCTTACGGGACCAACGACCTTAGCTGTTGACGCACCCGGAATCACTAATCAATGAATGAAACGCCGTTGGCACGCAGTGTCGTAGGAGCTCGTCTGGATCTTTTGCGCAGTTCCTGGGGCCGTGGCACGTGCTGCAGAAGACGTCGACGCGCGTGCGCTGCCTGCGCAACGAGTACTCGTGGGCGGAGGGCGCGGGCGCGGGCGCGGGCGAGTGGGCGGAGGAGCAGGCGGGGGCGCCGCTGGCGCTGCTGCAGCGCATGCAGCTGCCGGTGCCGGCCGTCAACAACGCCGTGCGCTACGCCGGCAGCCTGCGCCCCGCCGACCGGCCCGGCGCCTACATCGCGCGCTTCCCGCTCAGTGAGTGCACGCCATTCAAGCCATTCAAGCAATAGGGGAACGATCAATCAATTTCTGAATGAATAACTCCCTCATTGAAAGAGTAAAAGTGTGTGTGACCGAACAAATTAATGAACAATGAACTAAGTAGTGAATAATATCAGATAATGAATTAGTCATTGAAAAAGTCAATGTGTAGATCTGAGCAAGTGGATGCACAACGAATGAATGTAATTCAATAAATATGTACCTTATTATGAATGAGACAAACATGCATAAAGTATAAATATTAAGTAAAATTAATTATTTAGTTTTTAAAATTGAAAACATTAGATGAATGCTTCCGCTGGCGGAAGTCTTGTTAGAATGTCTGTCTAAAAGTATCATCTTTCGTATTACTTCCGTATGGATGCATTATATTGGAAGATAATACGCCAACATTCCCTACAACACAACCACATTATAATTGTTATTTTCCTGTTAACAGTATTAGTAAAAAATCTATACGTGTCGTAAAATTTTGAACTTGTGGAATGTTGTAAAATTTTTAATATCGTGAGATAAAATGTGTAGAAATGCATGAAAGTAAAACTATGAAATCAATACTTCCATCGTTCGTCTTCATTTAACTTCAAGGTACTTCCAAATCAAAATAAGTAGATAGAGAGTGTTTACATATGTAAACACTTTTAGCAGACCATTCTGGGAAACAGATATTTCTTCATTTAGCCATTCAAATAGTTATTAATAGTTTACATTTAAAATGACGGCGTGAATAACAAGAGCACTTTCCGAGAAGGCAGGTGTGGCGCGCGTGGGCGGGTCAGTGTTGCCATTGCGTGGGACGTGCGTTGCAGACATGTTGGGCGCCGCGTCGTACGTCGTGGTCGACACCGACTACGACTCCTTCGCCGCCGTCTACTCGTGCCAGCAGGTGGCGCTCTGGTACAGGCACTCCGCCTCCATTATGGCGCGAGGCCGCACGCTCTCGCCCGACATCATTCGCAAGGTACCTCACGCATCGCCACGCCCAAATATTATTATTACTACGGCTCACTCAAGAGCACGTTTCCACAGCGACATATATCCACGAAATACAATTTTTCAGGAAGGTAAAATATTGACGCTCAGTATCTCAACACAGGACTCACATTTTTAATACATGATTATTTCAATAGTCTCAAGTCAGAGACTTTCAATGGTCTCGAGAGAGAATACATGTGAAAAATCTCAAGTGAAGGAATAGTAGAATGAGTAGCTTGAATGGAGGAATGGCACTTCAAAACAAAACTGGAGTGTTGTTATGGATAGGGATATAGAAGAAATGATCATGCGCCACATACCTACATGTATTTTGCAATGCAATAAACTTAATATTATGGAGAAAATGTTGATAAAAACACTAATTTTATCAATTTATGTCAAATACATGAATAATATTTAACTTTTTTCAACAGACACATACATTATCTAAAAAAGCGAATGCATTCTTGTAAAAATATATTTATGGGTTCTGATAATTTAATACTATATTTTATATAGATTCCAGCACTATAAAAGAACATTTTATGTTGCAAGAAATCGTTCATAAACTGGCATTTTACGGCACAAATGATGATGTATTATATTTTCAGGAGTGATTGCGTCATCACACATTCAGGCAATCGTAGCGAGAGAATCGGGGGGAGGTAGAGCTAAACGGAACAACCGACCACCGTCTACTCGCACGATGTCAAATACCCGAATCGTCACAGGGAATTAAGTTTGATTCTCTTAAAAATGTATAATACTGTTTTACAAAAAAATATAGTATGCAACTCGTTTATAATTTTGCTTTATTACATTCGTATACATTTGAAAACTCGCTCCTAAAGTCGCTCGTTTTCAAAACATGTACTCATGCAATAAAGCTTAACATTATAAACTAATTGTATGTGATTTTAAGGCTATTGTTACATTAAGGTATACATCCATTTTTGGATATATTTAAACAGAGAGAAACAGTTTTTTAAACAATATTTGACAGCATGATTGATAAGCCTCTTCAGCATATTTTAATAGGTAAATTTCGAAAACGAATGAAAAATAGAGATACATCACTTCGGAAATAAGGTCTTTAGTTTCCCCCACACTTCAAAACAAATCACAGGGGTGAAGTTAAGCATGTATCCCAATTTCGTGCGTATATAACTTAATCGAGAGGATCAAAATGAGGAGACAACATTTTAGTTGTTTAAGTGGTCGCTTATGGCATACCGGAAATGGAAGTTCTTACTTGAGAAACTTCTCTTCCTGTAGAGAGAGTGTGAAGCGAAGAGTATGTGAGGACAGAAGCGCGTATTGTATTGAACGCAGAGGCTAAAAAAATGAACGACTATTTCGAGTTATATAAGTACTCACAAGTTCGTACTGTCAGTAGAGATTCTTTCTTTTTTAGTTTTCGGTTTACTTCATAGGTAGATTCGATTTCCACGTACACTTTACGATGAACACACAATATAGTCTAAAAACTTCCATCTCTATAGGTTTATTATTCTAGGCGTTTATTGTAGAATAATATTTCTACTTATAAAATCAACGAATATAAGAGAAAAGACATTATTTTGCAGGGTGTGTCTATGTATTGATAATGACGTAAAAATAATTATTTAAAAAGTAAGAATCTATAATATTGCTTTCAGCTTCGACGGGAGCTAACAGCCCACGGCGTCAACGTGGATGACCTGAACGAAATCAAGCAGTCATGTGGCCCAGATGAGGAAGAGCAGGGCATCCAGGTGGGTAACACATTTCATGAACGCAAATCGCACAACTGAAAGCTGTGCAAATCGTAACACAAGCAAAAACATATACGATAAATTTATAATATCTCCGTGAAATAAGATATTATTAATATGGCGTGATCTCTCTTGATACGAAACTTGGATGTTGGTATGTACGAGAGCCGTGAACTCCGACACGGTGAAACCGATCTCCATGAAAGTTGGCACATCTGCGTGCTTATTTGCATTTAATCAGAAAGTGTATAAGCTGTTAGTTTAGTTGTAAGTCTAGTAGATAGCGCTGCAGCACAAGATTGCGCTTAATTTTCATTCAATTTCCATTCAAACTGAGCTCCGTCTGGACTTCATTGCTGTTGAGCGTTGCCGTGTGACGCAGGGCGAGGCCGAGAAGGCCAGGGCAGCGGCGCGTGTAAGAGGGAGAGAGAAAGAAAAAGAGAAAGGGCCAGAGAGACAAAGACAGAAAGAGAGACAGAGAAAGAAGGGAGATGGAGGGCAGGACGTCTGCACGATTCCGCTAGTCTTGTATAAAATAGAAGATAATAATTCTTCCTATTCTTACACGCTTCTGCCAAATACTTACTTTTTCATAGTTCTCTTGAAAGTTGCGTGAACATGACGCAGCCAGAGAAACCAAGAGCCACACTTTTACGGCCGGCGTCTGTTAAAAATTCAGTATTTCGCCGTTCGAAGAAAAATCGAAACAAATGATTTGTAGCTATATTTGATGTATGGGTACAATTATTTAAAGAAATGTTTTTCTTGTGTTCTTATTTATAAGGTTTTTTCTGACAAGAAAATATCACAAACTAAAATATTGGTTAAAAACATCGGCTATCTTCTCGGCTTACAAACTTCACCCATGTCTGTTATTTGCTGTTTATCGGTCTAATGACGTTAATAACTATCCCGGCGCCGGGTATATCATTTCCTTGACGCCAATGAAAATGAGAGCAAATCTGTTGCTAGAAATACTAACGACAAAAAAAGAAAATGTCATGAAGTGCTTTTTTTTTTGTCAGAGGGAACTCCATATTACAAAAATGATTATGAAAACATGATCCTACTGTTATGTGAACGCGTGGAATGTCCTCAGGTGCACATCAAGCCCAACGTGTTCCGCAGCAACGCGACGGCGCTGCTGGAGGACGCCAACGACTCCGTCAAGGCGGCGGCGGACGCGGCCAAGCGCGCCATCGACGTGTACAACACGGTGCAGACGGTGTACGCGGGCGCCAGCGCGGCGGCGGGCAGGCGGCGGCGGCGCGAAGCTCGGCCGCAGCGAAAGCCGCACCCCGACCCGCGCGAGGAGCAGCTGCTGCGCCTGCGCCTCGACTGGCTGCCCTGAGCGCTGCGCGCGGACTGGGCGCCTGCCGGGCTGTGCGCGCTCGCTCTCTTCAACCCTCGCTTCACACGATGCGAGGGAACGCGGTGGGGGACACGACTATTACGCTCGGTTTGCTATGTAAAATAGACGGTGGTTACACGGAAGCGAGCATTTCTGGATATCAGATTTGGTCATCAAAGCTCCTTGCTATAATTGATTCTCAATTCAACTAATGTAAGTAAAGGAGTTGGGGCAGGTCTTCCAGAGCTCAAGAAAACGTGCGTGTATGATACAAGAAGGCTTTGGCGTTACGTATTACGACAGGTGCAGCCCTTAAATGTTCAGATATCTCACAAAACGTACCGTGAAACATTTTAAGAGAAGCCGATGTGTTCCAAGATTCTTTAAAAAAATCGGAGTTTTCGAATTTTACATGTTTAAATAGCCTGCTTTATTCTGTGTTGGAACTTGTGTCATGACGAACGAACAATTGTATGCCTAGTTGTTAGTTTTTTAATGTTGATGAATCATGTCTATTGACTTCAACAGTATTTTTAAATATATGAAAACTATTTTTTTCCTGGAGCATTTAAAAATTATTTTATTTTGCTTAAGTTTCATGCACTGTAGGACTATTGGGAAATTCATGTGTAGTTTGTTTGTCTGTGTTCATTTTTTAAATATTGAACGAGTTATGAATACATATCAATTGCATAGGTAAACTCGAAACTCTTTTCTCATAATTACTTTTATCTTCTGCTTATGTACCAAGTAATTTTGCAGTAGGTTCTGTATGTAGGTAAACATTTGTCAACAAAATAATGTATTTTCGTTGCTTCAATACTTTGCTAGAGATATCACTAAAATGTGTAGGAAAATTAATATTAAACAATCTAACTAAAACAAAATCAACTAATAATGTGAAGATTCAAAATTCAATCTATAGATTAAAGTTAGATTTTTTGTCGAAATAATACAAAAATTGGAAAATTTTGATTGTTAGTTTGTCCGAAAGATGTATTGAAATATTTGGATTATTTTTCATGAATTTAAATGAGGCTTTCAATATGCTTTCGCCTCCTCTTAAAAGGATTTTGAGAATTATTATATATTGCACAATTAATTTTAACCACGAAGAACACATTTTTAATGTTATTTTAAATCCGATTTTCTAAGTTATTTTTTGTTAATTTAAAGTGCGCCGTCATTATTCATTCATTCACCAAATTGGTGTTAACTCGAACTATTAGTTTGTCATATTAGTTTGCCGGCAATTTAGGCGCGTGACGGATGAAGTATTTGGTGCTGCGCGGTTCAATCCATAATATTAATGCTAGAATGCAGTTAATCTTTGTATTACGCAACGACGTATACGATGATTGATAACAGCTTCCTAAATGTTCAATGCAGTGAAACTGGACACGATTGTCATGAAAACTAGAGCAACGAGTCAGCATTTTATTTATTCAAATGCGCAAAAGTACGTTCTCAGGGTACTTTTTTTATTAACGTTTGATTGATGTAGAGAATGCAATAGTTGAGTCTTTGTATACAGTGAATCAAAAACGTAGGAAAGGCTGTATCATTCGATTCTAGACTAAATTAAACGTACACAGCAACGAGACGTTAGGAAACGTGAGTCCGTGACCGTTTGTACGTTTGTAAATCACTATCATTACGATCGTCATTTCGTAATATTTTTATGTTTATTTTTTTATAAATAAACCATAAAATACTACCACAATGAGACTCATTTACTATCCAACTCACCACCACTATCTCGCAACATTCTTACAATCAAGAAACACTACTCTTTCCAAGCGTTTTCTCTCTTCTGCCTCAAGTCTTCATTGACATTGCTTCTAATATTTTGTGGCCATTATATTTGACAAAATGTATTATTACATCTAAAGGTTTTGAATTATTTTCATAATATCACTGAATTGGATCAAAGAACGTTAGTTATGCTGTATTATATTAATGTTTACACAAAACTCACATATTGTTGCTCACTTAAACTAAAACATATCGCAAGTGAACAATTCTGTCACTGATCTCGAATGTAGGTACTGTTAATTTATATCCTTTAAAACAAAACGACATCCATATTACCATCCATCTTATAGATATTAAGCATCACATCGTAAATACAAATATGTAGTTAAGAACAACCTTATTTTTATTATTCTTATTTAGAACAAGTTAACTTTATAAGAACAACCAAGAGGTAATTGATATCTTATTTTAAGAGTATAGTCCACACAAATTTAGTGTTGTTTTGGAGTGATATTATTTTATATTCATTTATGTGCCATGAACGCATTTCAACATGAACATTTGAACAAAAACTTTATACCCAAAGCCTAGTAATGAAAGTAGTGTTTGATATCGAGTTCATAATATGTACTTCATACAATATTTATTATATACACTATTATGTATTTTACTTTTTTTGAGAACGTGGTACTTCTGTTTTGAGTACCTACGCTCATATATTTTTACACAAAATTAACAGAAGGCAAGATTTATCAAGGAGCAAAGTTGCTACATTGTTAAGATTTTTTATAATAAAAATTTAGAACATGAGTATTCTTTGGATATGGTGCAAACCTTTTGGAATTGTTTATTCTTGTAACCTCTAATTCATTTCTCTTCTGTCAGACGTTGACGGTAAATCGCGCTCATCTTAGTGAAATATGAAATAAGGAATTAATTTTACGGCAATATTAGTGAAATTTATAAAATTCCTTAGCACCCGACAAAATTACCAAAACGTATTGAGCTAATGATAGACTCGAAAGAATATTTATTAAATTTATTAAATTATTACTTTTCATAAATGTTTCAAATAGTAATAAATTTATAAAAATATTAAACACTAAGTTTTGGAAAGTGTTTAGATAATGAAAGACCGGGAGTAATGATTATATTTTTATTACACTACTTTATTTTTTCATTGCATTAAATAACGTTTCAAAGAGCCCGTCTCGGGGAAGAGTGCGCCCACTTTCGCGCAAATCAGAAAGGCTTACAGCTGCGTTTGCGAACAAGAGGGGAATCCCCAGTCTGTAGTGCATCACCTCTGAATCCTAATCCTTCCACAATCCCTTGCTCTGACTGGCAATTGAGCGCGATATCTGTGTGCAAACGTAGTGGACAATTGAGTACCTGGCTCCCTACTCGCAGAACAATGGTACACGAACCGAGATGGAGCCACGGGCATCCACAGGTTTGTATGAAACGATACAGAACCGATGGGTCTTAGGGCTACTTGGACAGACTGTTAATGAAACGGGCGTCCTATTTACTGGCTATTGCTCTAAGGAATGGGTACAAAATGTGGGTTTCATGTTAATATGAATGTTCACAAGCTGTCATTCTTTGTTCCGGAAAAAGCACACGAAGAAAACATGCACATCGCACGTGCTTTATATCTTTCACATTGTAGAATGACTTCCATTTTCAAATGGTCGGAGATATGTGGATGGTTTAACTAAAATATTGATATGTCAACAGTCTTTGCGGATTTACTGGATATGTCCAGTATAAGCTTTCTATTCAATGTTATCAACTTCTGAAGGGATTTCAACGCAGTGAGAAAAATCTTCACATTTAATCTTTGCGCTACCAGATATCAGGTATAGATTACTTTTAGCCGACGCGACAATCACGAGGCATTACAAAGTGCTCTGTAAGACAAGAAGAAACGTCGATATTGGGTGTTCCGTCTCATGGCACCAATATTCATGTTATCTCTCATTACCCGGCCAGCGTAACACGAGCTTGGGTTAAACGTCTAAGACATTACACTTGCCACATGATCTCAGCAGAATATGGTAGTTAGGGAATCTTATACCCTTTTATCGTTTAAACCAATATTAGTTCAAGCAACAAATGAGCCCACGACGAACATTTGTTGAGAGAACTACGTCTGTCTGTCCGCCCGTCTGTGCACAACGCTAGCGGCTAAACTGTTCAGCCAATTTTCTTGAAAATTGATATTCCCCAATCCATCTGACTAAGTTCGCGGCCGTTTGAATTTGTAAACTAAACTTTAATTTTTGGAAGTACTCTACACAAAACCTCTGGTACAGAATATCGAATGTAATCCAAAATGAAGCCAAAATCCCGACATTTGGGGAAAACTAATTTCGTACTGACTTTCTAAAATCACGAAAGTAAGTACAACTCGTGACAAGAAATTCAATGGAGCATAGCAGACGTCAATCCGACTATTAGTTTAGAAATTAAACGCGTAAAAACAAATGAAGACAAAATCCAGAAAATGGGACAAAAAATGAAAAAAAAAAACAGAATTTCGTATTATCTTTCTGAAATTTCGTATGTAAGTAACACTCTACACGAGAAAATCAATGGTGCAAAGCAAAAGTCAATCCGATAATTAGTGTAGAAATTTTACGCTTAAATACAAATTAGCCCAAATCCCGAAATTGGGGAAAAATGGGAAAAAACCTAGTTTCGTAGTATCTATCTGAAATCACGTTAGTAAATTCAACTATTCACGAGAAATTCAATTGTGCAAAGCAGAGGTCAATCCGACTATTAGTTTAGAAATTATACGCTTAACAAAAAATGGTTCCCAAAATTACAAATTTGCGGCAAAAAATGTGAAAAAGCCTAATTTCGTAGTATCTTTCTGAAATCACGTATGAAAGTAACACTCTCCACGAGATATTCAATGGTGCAAAGACGAGGTCGATCTAACTATTTGGTTCGCATCTATACGATTAAACACAATTGAAGCCCAAATCGCGAAATAAAGGAAATAATGGGAAAAACTTAATATTGTAGTATCTTACTGAAAGTCCGTATGAATATACAACTCTCCACGAGAAATTCAAAGGTGCATAGCAGACGTGAATCTGACTAATAGGTTAAAAATTTACGCTTAACAACAAATGAAGCCCAAATCTCGAAATTAAGGCAAACAATGGTAAAAAACCTACTTTCGTAGTATCTTTCTGAAATCACGTATGTAAGTACAACTCTCCACGGGAAATTTAATGGTGACAAGCAGAGATATATCGTACTATTAGTTGCGAAATTAATCGCTTAAAATCAAATGAAGCCCAAATCCTGAAATTGGGGATAAAATGGGGAAAAAACTCTTTTCGTAGTCTCTCTCTGAAATCACGTATGTAAGTACAACTTTCCACGAGAAATTCAATGATGAAAAGCAGAGGTCAATCCGATTAATAGGTTTAAAAATTTACGCTTAACAACAGATGAACCCAAATCTTGAAATTGGGACAAAAAATGGGAAAAAACCTAACTTGGTAGTATCTGTCTGAAATCTCGTATTTAAGTACAACTCTACACGAGAAATTCACTGGTGCAAAACATAAGTAAATCCGACTATTAGTGTAGAAATTTTACGGTTAAATACAAATGACGCACAAATCCAGAAATTGGGGGGGGGGGAATGGGAAGAAACCTAATTTCGTAGTATCTATCTGAAATCACGTAGGTAAGTATAACTCTTCACTAGAAATTCAGTGGTGCAAAACAGAGGTCAGTCCGACTATTAGTTGAAAAATTATATGCTTACCAACAAATGAAGCCCAAATCCCGAAATTGGTGCAAATAATAGGAAAAAACCTAATTGCGAAGATTCTTTCTGAAATAACGTATGTAAGTAACACTCTCCACGAGAAAGTAAATGGTGCAAAGCAGAGATCAATCAGACTATTAGTTTCGAAATTATTCGCTTAAAAAAAATGACGCCCAAATCCCGAAATTGGGGGAAAATATCGGAATAAACCTCTTTTCATAGTAACCCTCTGAAATCACGTATGTAAATACAAATATCCACGAGTAATTCAAGGGTGCAAAGCAGACGTCAACCCGACTATTAATTTAGAAATTTAACGCTTAAAAACAACTGAAGCCTAAATTTCGAAATTGGGGCAAAAAATGGGAAAAAAGCCTAATTTCGTAGTATCATTCTTAAATTACGTATCTAATTACAAATCTCCACGAGAAATTTAATGGTGCAAAACAGAGATCAATCGGACTATTAATTTCGAAATTATTCGTTTAAAAACAAATTAAGCCCAATTCCCAAATTAGGGTAAAAAATTGGAAAAAACATCTTTTCGTAGTAACTCTCTGAAATCACGTATGTACGTACAACTATCCACGAGAAATCGATGGTGCAAAGCAGAAGTCATTCCGACTATTAGTTTAGAAATTATACGCTTAATAACAACTGATGCCAAAATCACGAAAATGGGGCAAAAAATGGTAAAAAACCTCATTTCGTAGTATCTATCTGAAATCACGTAGGTAAGTACAACTCTCCACGAGAAATTCAATAATGCAAACAGAGGTCAATCCGACTATTAGTTCAGAAATTATACGCTTACCAACAAATGGAGCCCAAATCCCGAAATTGGTGCAAATAATAGAAAAAAACCTAATTTCGTAGTATCTTTCAGAAATAACGTAGGTATATACAATTCTCAACGATAAATTCAATGGTGCAAAGCAGATATCAATCCGACTATTAGTTTATAAATTATACGCTTAAATACAAATGATGTCCAAATCAAGAAATTGGGGCAAGAAATGGGGAAAAACCTAATTTCGTAGTATCTATATGAAATCACGTAGGTAACTACTACTCTTCACGAGAAATTCAATGGTGCAAAGAAAAGGTCAATCCGACTATTTGTTTAGAAATTATACACTTAACCACATTTGATGCCCAAATCACGAAATTGGGGGAAATAAAGGGGCAAAAACCTAATTTCCTAGTATATATCTGAAATCACGTAGGTAAGTACTACTCGTCTCGAGAAATTGAATGGTGCAAAGCCTTGGTGAATCCGACTATTTGTTTATAAATTATACGCTTAACAACAAAAATGCCCAAATCAAGAAATTGGGGCAAAAAATGGTGAAAAACCTAATTTCGTAGTTTATATCTGAAATCACGTAGGTAAGTACAACTTTCCACGAGAAATTCAATGGTGCAAAGCAGATGTCAAGGCGACTGTTAGTTAAGAAATTATACGCTTAACAACAAATGTTGCCCAAATCAAGAAATTGGGGCAAAAAATTGAAAAAAAAAACTAATTTCGTAGTATCTATCTGAAATCACGTAGGTAAGTAATTCTCTACACGAGAAAAACAATGGTGGAAAGCAAAGGTCAATCCGACTATTTGTTGTTAATATATACGCTTAAAAACAAATGATGCCCAAATCAAGAAATTGAGTCAAAAAATGGGGAAAAAACGTAATATCGTATTATCTATCTGAAATAACATAGGTAAGTACTGCTCTTCACGAAAAATTCAAGGGTGCAAAGCAGATGTCAATGCGACTATTAGTTTAGAAATTATACGCTCAACAACAAATGATGCCCAAATCAAGAAATTGGGGCAAAAAATGGGAAAAAACCTAATTGGGCAGTATCAATCTGAAATCACGTAGGTAAGTACTACTCTTCATGGAAGGTTCAATGGTGCAAAAGAGATGTCAATGCGACTATTAGTTTAGATATTATACGCCTTAAAACATATGATGCCCAAATTACGAAATTGGGGGAAATCATAAGGAAAAACTTAATTTCGTAGTATCTATCTGAAATCACGTAGGTAAGTACAACTCTCGACAAGAAGTTCAATGGTGCAAAACAGAAGTCAATCCGACTATTTGTTTAAAAATTATACATTTAACAACATATGATGCCCAAATGAAGAAATTGGGGCAAGAAATTGGGAAAGACCTAATTCCGTAGTATCTATCTGAAATCACGTAGGTAAGTACTACTCTT